TCACCCACCCCGCTACCATGATGACCCCATAGTCCTCAGATTCGAACTCCCCGTATCGAAAAACCTCGGAAAATGACTTTTTCGAAAAATTAATTTTCGGTGTTCTTTTGACCTTCCACCCAGCCTCACCCACCCCACTACCATGATGACCTCATAGACCTCAGATTCGAACTCTCTGCATCGAAAAACCTATAGAAATGTCTTTTTCGAAAAATAAATTTTCGATGTTCTTTTGACCCTGGCACAAACAAACGCATTTTCGTTTTTTTCGTATCACCCTCCTTTCAGTCGAGGGAATATCTGATCAAACTATGTATTAATCAAATGTTTTATAAAATATAGTTTTAAATCGTCAATAACTTACGCTGATTTTCTTGTTGTATAGTCGAGATTTGTGATGAATCCTTATGTTTTAATTTATGAATAATTTAAAAATAATTTTAATAATCAATGGAGAAAATAATCGAAGAATAACATTAATTCCACCAATAAGACTGATAATAATAGTAATTAGATAAATAATACTAGTCTTTTTTTCATAAGTAAATGAACAAGATGAAGGTTTACATTTTTGATAATAAATTGAGTATGATGAAGAGAAATTCCATTCTTCAATCATAATTTCATTAAAAATGATTTCAATTGACGTATTTGGAGAATATCGACTTGATAATGTTGAATTAAGTGGAGTTATAGAAGGAAGTATTGGAAGGTTTGCTGCACTGACAAATGTTCGTAATTGATTTAAACAAGTGTTTTCAAACCAACACATCAATGATGATTTTAATACAGAATCCATAATCGAACAACCATATCGTATACCATCTAGTTCGCAATCAAGTTTCAAATCAAATGACCACATACCTTCAATTGTAACAAAAAGATTATCTATATCACATGTTGAATCAAGAACACAATAACATTTATCACCACTTGCATTAACAGTATACATAGCTTCTGTTACGATCTCTATACTATATGGTCCATCTGACCATTGTAATAATAATGTGCAAGGAACAGTACTTGATAACATATGACTTATATATTGATTATTATGAAGTAATCCATTAGTTAAATTCATTCGATAAAGATATTCATTTTTAGTTAATTGAATAAATGTATTTATTGATGAATTTATTTATGAATAAAATAAATCATTTATTGCAATTTGAGCATGAACGGATGTTGTTGTTAAAAATTGATTAATTTCATTATTAATTATTATTTTAGCAATATCACAAAATATTTCTAATGTTTGAAAATATGATGAAGCAAATGATAAAAAATCAATATATCCATTAGAAGTATTATAAGGAAGAAAACTTTGATACCACTATGATTGAATAAAATCACTTATAAATATTTGATGATATTTTACTTCAAGTGTTATTAAATCTTTATAAGGTATAGGTATTTGAGTACATGGATATGTTAATGTTGAGGAATATTTTTCTTCTAATTTTTCATATTCTTCTTCAGATGGGTTTATAATAGTTTCATTAAATATTTCATTTGGTGAATATGAAAATACAACAATAGCATATATTGATATTAACAATGAAACAATATATAATCGTGTTGCTAAAACACCATGATAAACACGTATTGGATCATGAGAATATTTACTGTATAAATTAAAAGTTATGATTTTATTTTTAAATTTTAGAAACAATTCTTTTAGCCAAACTAAAATTATATTTATTTAATATTTTCTTTTCTTTTTATTTAAATCTTGCATAGAGTTTTTTGTTTAACTTGTTGATGTTTCTTTGAAATACATCGTTTTTTAATACATAAAATTAATCGAATAATATATGGAGTAATTATTTGTAATACAGTTGTTATTCCCCCAAGAAGACCAAGAAAAATTGTAAAAACATAAATAAAATTAAAACGATGTATATAAATATATTGACAAACATTAGGTAAACATTGTGAATAATATTTTGTATAGTTTGTTTGATTAAATATTTCTTCAAGAAAAAGTTCATTGATAAGTAATTCAACTTTTGTTGTTGAAAGAAAACGACTTGATAAAGATTGATTAAGAATTGTAATATTTAATGGATTTCTATAAGATGATAAAAGAATATTTAAACATGATTGATTATAAAAACATTCTAATGAGGATAAAAGTGTCATTTGATATGGTAAACAATCAATTATTATACCAGATAATGTATCATTCACTTCAATTTTATTCAAGTCATAAACTCCAAAAGTTTCAAAAGATTTATATAAATAAAGATTTGCAGGTAAAGGACATGAACCATTATTTTGACAAGAACAAACTAATGTGGAATTTTTCAATATATATCTATTTCCAAATAATCCCGCATAAAGAGATACATTCATATAACCAATATCGTATACAGTATTATTATGTGTTAATCCAAAATAATCTGTTACAGCAATATAATTTGTTAATAATCCTGTTACTAATTGATTTGCTTGTGTGACTTTATGAACAATTGTCATTAGTTGTATCAGAGTAGATGATGCCGTTTGACGTAATCAAGAAAGAGCAGCTTGAACTTTTTCTTCTAATAATTCTTCAGTCAATAACATTGTACTAATTAATGGAGAATTATCAAATTGATGAAGTGCATCTGCAGTTATGTTTATTGAACTTTGACAAAATGTTCTTATTAGTTGCCACATTGCACTCAAACTTGTTCGGACATCTATCAGCCAAATAGATGTTGAATTTGTTTGAAATACGAAATTAATCCATTGTTGAGAAATAAAATCACTTGAACATACTTGATGAAATAATGGAACTATTTTAACAAAATTTCCATAAGAAATTGAGACTTTTGTACATGAACATTGTAAACTATTAGCATATTTTTGTTAAAGATTTTCATAAATAGATTGACTTGGTAATGTTACAGTTTTATTTTCAATTCGATGGCTTATTGAAGAATATGCTGTTAAAGTAATAAGGGAAATAATAAAAAGAACAATAAAAAGACGAGTTGATAAGATTTCACGACGAATAATTAGTGAATGTGATGATCAAGAATCAAAAATATTTCCTGTATTCCATTTATTACAAATAATTTTATAAAATGATTGCAATAGTACTTGTATAGACATGACAATATTTTCTAGAAGATAAATTTTTCAAAATGAAGCAATGTAGAATTCTCATTTTATTTGTTAAGTTTAAAAAGCTCAAGTTTAACATGTTAGAAATAGATCGGAAAGACGTACGCATAACAAAAGTATTCTTCATCTGAGATTTATGATTTCATATTAGTTTTTTTTCATTGGAAACAAACAACACATATTGAGACGATTGACCTTATACTATTGACTACAAAAAACATACTTGTTTTTATTTATCAATAAATTTAATCAAATCTCTGCTAATGTTATCTATTAGCAAACTGTGTCAAGTCATCTTTTTGTAAGATAGTACAAATTTTGGTACATATTGAAATGCAGATGCCTTAAAAACTATAAAATAATGAGAAAAGATATGTCCAAATACTTCTAAAAATAAATATTTACAAACATTTGATAATAGAGAAATTCTAGT